GCATGCTGAGGGGGCGGATACATTTATTATCTTGATTGAGGTGAGGGATTCACAGATGTGCACATATGTGAGAACTTATCACATTACACATTGAATTACGGACAGCGGATTGTAAGAAAATTACATTGTCCTAAATACACCTCCATCCCTTCCTTATGACCGAGAAAGCTCTTTGTGTTTGGGCTGCAGTTGCTGTTACCTGCCCAGCACCTTTCAAGCCATCAGGCCAGTGCCACAGGCACCTGTGGGCTCTGCCACCTGTTCCACAAATGAACTCTATTTCAGGTCTCTTGGTGTTCACAAATTCTGCTAAACTTTCAGAATCCTCACATCTTCTAGGAACCTTGGGCCCTTGGTTTGTGCACCAGCAGGACCCTCGCTCTACATTCAGACCCAGATCACCCGTCGCCTCCTCCTTGGGTGGGCTCGGGCCTCTGCTCCCAGATCCTTCCTCTAGTCCTGCCTGGGACGGTGGTCATGTGTCCACTGCTGTGACTCGCAGCAGCCTAGGGACTCCCTCCACGGAAAGCGTCGTTTATTAATAGCCGTTCCCTTCGGACAGGGCAGGGGTTGTGGCCCCAGGGATGTCTGTGGACCAGTCTCAGGCCAGCATCCCTAACATCATTTCCATCCACAGACACACGTGCAGTATAAAGCAGGCAAGGGGCCCCGGGGGATTCCACAAGAGCCAGACAGTGGGTGACTGGCCCGTTGTGCGATCCCCAAATTCCCCAGGCCCGGGGCCTGGGTGCCTGTTGTAGGCAGCGTGGGGACCTTCGCAGCTATATGCTCCCTGGGCTGGGCAGAGCCTCCTGCTCACTTGTCTGTGGAAGGTCCCAGGAGCTGCTTCCCCCCTAGGAGCCTACCCGGGGGCAAGCTCAGTCTCACGCCTCAGCTGTCTGTGCAATCAACCAGCTCAGACTTGGGTGGCTCTCAGGGTAGAAGGTGCATGTTCAGAGGGGAAACAAATAAGCGTGAGCACCCCTCCCCTTCCCAGGCAGTGGGGAAGATAAAAGAGGCGCAGCCCAACTCAGGCCTCAGCTGCGGCCCAGAGGAAGCTGTCTGCACCATGGCCTGGACCCCTCTCCTCCTCGTGCTCCTCTCCCACTGCACAGGTATGGACGGTCTCCAGGGTGCAGCCAACATCCCTGCACCCTGTGCCTTATCCATAGGCTGCAATATTCCCTCCCCCTGAATGTCTGTGCTTGCAGGTTCCCTCTCGCAGCCTGTGCTGACCCAGCCGCCCTCCCTCTCTGTGTCTCCGGGAGCAACAGCCAGACTCACCTGCACCCTCAGCAGTGGCTTCAGTGTTGGTGATTACTGGATACGCTGGTTACAGCAGAAGCCAGGGAGCCCTCCCCGGTATCTTCTGAGCTACAAGTCGGACTCAGACAAGCACCAGGGCTCCGGGGTCCCCAGCCGCTTCTCTGGGTCCAAAGACGCCTCGGCGAACGCAGGGCTCCTGACCATCTCTGGGCTGCAGCCTGAGGACGAGGCCGACTATTACTGTGTTATATGGCACGACAGCAGCAATGGTTACACAGTGCTGCAGAGTCACGGAGAAGTGAGACTGAAACCACCCTGTGCTCTGTCTGCCGGGGGCTGACACCCCTGATCGCCCTGGGACCAAGGCTCAGTCAGGGTGACATTTGTTCCCACTCCTTCAGTTGGCAAGTCTTTTCCAAGGACTCATGGAGGCACAATTTTTTTTATCTTCTTGTCCATAGTTAAACATTCTGTGTCTCCCTTGTTAATATCTTTTCAGCCCGCCCATGGCCACACAGACACCAATCCATCCGCAGGCCACCTAACCGTCCAGGGACATGATGTACGAGAAAAAAGATGGCGATGCCCACCCATGCCCAGCCCAGAGTTTAAGCCTGTGTCACAAGTGTGGGTGGTCTGAGGGCTTCCAGTGGGTCACTGGGTCCAGCAAGACCAGCCCGTCTCTGAGGAAACTGCTCTGAGAATGAGTTTACATCCGTCTGCACGTGCCCATCGTGGCCTGTCCGTGGGAACTGTTTTCTCCTCTTGGGGCTCCAGGATAGCAGGTCTCTCTGGCGCCAGGGATGGTGAATCAACAGGACCTCCTCCACATTGAAAGACGGTTGTGTGTGATTCTCCATGGGCACCAGGGTATCAGCAAAGCCCAAGAAAGGCAAAACTCTCAGAGGAAAGACGCGAGTGGGATTCAGAGACTAACACCCCTTGCCAGGTGGCTCCATCGCCCATCACGTGGGCCACTGGGAGCCGTGAGGAGCCTGTGGTTTGCATGCACAATGAGGATCAACCACCTTCTGTTTTAAGCTTTAACTTTCTTTCTCAATTCAAGAGATATATTCTGGTTAAACAACTTCATATTGTTGTGAAATCTAAGATTCCATAAACTCAAGTTTTTGCAAAGATCCCACACGTGTGTGTTGGAGAATAGAGAACAGTCTCCTCTCTTCTCTGCATGAACAAATATTCCAGGACCCCTGACCAGTGAGATTCATAGTGATGAGTGAAACAATCCAAATCAAGCATCTTGTGCTTATATTCCTCAGGCGGCTCATACCCTCGAGAGACTGGAACGTGTACCAGGCAGGGGGCGCTGTGGGGCTGTCCTAAGGGGGAGCGGGATCTGAAGTCCCCATTCTGGGATATACACTTGGGTGCTCCAATAATGTGACGCAATTAAATTTTTACCTGAAAGTCTTGTAAATCTCTTCTTCATTAAAACCACAACCAAAAATATTGCAGTTGTGTACTTACACTTCTATGTCTGCTTCTTCCTGGACACTGAAGATGTGCTATGAGGCAAGTTAAGTGAGACAAAGGCACCCACGTAAGGGGAGTCTGCAGAGCTTCGGGGCACAAGGTGGGGAATTGAGACAAAAGAACCCCACTCAATAGGAGTGGTGTCCAATAGCACATATTCAGAGTAAGTGGGAGTGAGACGGATGTACGGGTGAGGGGCCACTTGTTATAGTAACAGGTAAGAACGCAAAGAAGGACGTATTGGTCATGCAAATAAATGGGGACAGTGGCCTTTGGGCTATGCAATGGGGTAAGGAGTACGGAGGGTACCAGGGGGAGCTCCGAGAAAGTGGCAGGAGAGCTGAGGAGGCAGCTGGAGGCCAGGTGTTGTGATGACTTCTGCTAACAAGGAAAAACATGGTCATGGTAGTACTGCTGTTGGGGACTGACATGCATATGTAGGTGTCTGCTTACCAAAATCCCAGCTGCGAGGGGAATAAAGTGAGCGGAGCAGGGAGACAGGTCGGGAGGAGAACCCATCCCATCCTGCAGCAGAAGACAGTGGCCACGTCTCGGGGAGGAGAGTGAGGGTGAAGAGCATGGGAAACGCTGGCCCTGGGCCGTGCTGGAGGTTTAGTGAGGGGTACGTGGATGGGTCTGAGATGGCTCCCATGCTTCCGGTTGGGGATTTGGTTGGATGGTCCTGGTCCAGATGCAAGAGGGGCACACATGGTTGACATGGGTTAAGGAGAGAGAATGTTTGAGTTTTCTTTTTTATTCATGACTTCATGTGTGTGAATTAAAGTAAATTACTGAGCGGCGAATAAACACCATGATGCGTCAGACATCAGTGCTACGGTCCGCAAAGGAGAAGCTGTCATGGCCATGGGCATCCTCTGGTTTTCATGTGACACCAGTGTGATACAGGGAGGCGGTCTTTTCTGTGACTATTCAGAGGGAACTAAGTCTTCGCAGGAATACAATATGCATTTCTGATGTTAGTAAGTGAGATTTGGGAGTGACTAGATGGAGAAATATATACATATTTACATATTAACTTATAGATCATTCATATCAGTGGCACTATTTCCACAGAAATTGATTAGGGTAAGGCACTAGGGAAGTAATTGTGTTGATATTCTTTTCATGAGGTATTAGAAGTCTACACACAGTAGGGTGTAGACAAGGATGTGTTGAGTAAATTAATATGCATCCTAGACACTGAAACATTGTTGAGACAGGCCACCTGGGACTTCAGTGTCACGATACTGAACGCTCTTCCTGCAACTTCAATGCCTGTGCACGTCCCCAAAGATCCAACCCCGTCCCGAGGCACAAGGCACGTGGTGCGAGAGACCCATTCACCCTGGTGTGCGGCTGAGGGGCCGTGGGGTGCAGGCTGCATCCGGGGAGGGCAGCGCTGATGACCATCTCACATGGATGCTCTCAGGGGGAGAGCAAGCAAAAAGCGGATCTCACTCCCTAATAATTCTGGTCTCTTCCTGGATCAGGTTAACCCCTGTGCCTGGGTATCAATAGACTTGGGTGCCATCGTAGGTGAAGACAGGACAATTGAAGAGGCTGATGGACACTGGGGTGCCATGGTGGGAAGTAACGTATGAGGAGAGGGAGAGGAGCTGGTCATCCCAGGTGCTGAAGTAGAGGGTGTGAAGGGGTCTTTGTGCCCTCTGCCCTACCATTCTCTGAATGGAGGACACCTTCACTCTGACCATTAAGGCACCTCTTGTCCAACAACATAATTATCTAAATGGTAGGAGAAGCAGGAGGAAGATCTCATGCTGAGGAGATCAAGACTTTAGAGTAAGGCATGGGGACACCTGCAGCACAGCGAGGAGCCCTGGGGGATGAGAAGGCCCCACTGTGTGTGGGGTGGGTGGTGCCCCAGGCAGGACTGAAGCCCAGAGCCTCACTCTCTCTGCTAAACTCCTGCCTCTCAGTGCCAGTCGTAAGTGAGTCTGGACACTGAAACAGCAGGGGGCGCTGTGGACCCATCCCTGAGGGTCTGTGGGGGTCTCAGCTGGGAAACCAGTGCTGGAACCCTGTGCTCTCTGTTCTGTGCTCACTGGGGACCAGCAGCTGTGACCTCCCAGGGCCCCCCAGAGAGGCTCTTGCAGCCTCACGGACACGCAGCTGCCACCACCTTTATCCCCAGGGACCCAGGAGGAGGAAACAATTTGCATGAAAGGCTCCTCTCTGCCCTCCCACGAGGGGACAAGATAAGAGAGACTTTGGGCCGCTCTCGGCCTCGTAGGCTCAGAAGCAGAGCGTGGGCACCTCCACCATGGCCTGGACCCCTCTCCTCCTCGCCCTCCTGGCTCACTGCTCAGGTGACTGACGGAGGGGAGCCGGACAAGTGACCGTGGGAGACACTTGGACACAGCTTTTCCTTTTACTGGGAAGACGCTCTGAGACATAACCCCAGGCTCACATCCTTGTGTGTCCACTTTTCTGTTCCAGGGTCCTGGGCGCAGTCTGGGCTGACACAGGAAGCCTCGGTGTCAGGGTCTGTGGGACAGAAGGTCACCCTCACCTGCACTGGAAGCAGCAACAATGTTGGATTCTATGGTGCAGGCTGGTACCAACAGGTTCCTGGGGCTACCCCCAAAACTGTGATGCTTGGAACTACTCGCCCCTCAGGGATCCCAGATCGGTTCTCCGGCTCCAAGTCCGGCAACACGGCCTCTCTGACCATCACAGGCCTCCAGCCTAAGGATGAGGGGGATTATTACTGTTCTTCGTGGGACTATGGCAGCAGCAATACCACAGTGCTCCAGACCCATGGGGAACTGCGACAAAACCCTGCCCTGTTCCCAGTGATCAACCCCATGAAGGCCTGGGACAGATAAAGAGTGTGATTGTGGCCGGCCCTAGCCAGGGGCGTCCAACGTTTTGATGTCTCTGGTCCACATGGAAAAGAGTTGTGTTGGGCCACACGTTAAACACATTGCGACATGTAATCACACACACAGAAATCTCGTAACATTTTAAGGAAGTCTACGATTTCGTGTCGGACCTCATTCATAGCCATCCTGGGCCACATGCATCCCATGGGCCATGGGTTCTCCACCCTTGCCTACAGCGTCCGACTCTGAGGGTCCGATTTTTTGAGCAAAAACCCACTTTAAGGAGCTAGTGACAGGTGACCCTTCTCATAATTTTTTATGTCACAACTTTACTAGGTCTAATTTGCATGCCATAAGTTTCACTGGTTTATATGTACAGTACAATAGCATTTAACATATTGACAGAGTGGTATTACCATCCCATATTCTAATTTTAGAACATTTTTATTATCCCTCAGGGAAAAGCCCCACCCTTTAGTAATCTCGCCTCATCACGCCTCTGTCAGTCCCAAGCAACCGCTGACCCACCTTCTGGATTTCTCCATTCGCTCTCCTGGACATTTGTTTACACGGAAGAAGACAATGGGTGGTCCTTTGTGCCTGCCTCGTTTTCCTCAAATTCTTCTGAGTAGTGTTCTTGGGGTCCCATCCAGGCTGCGGCACGGGCCAGCAATCCTTGTTTTGGTCAAATAATACTCCGCAGTCTGAGCACACCGATGCCTGTTCCCCATCCCCTGCTGGTGGATACTTGTGTTGTCTTTTCTCTTTGGCTATTATGCATAGCGCTGCTGGGAACCTCGGCTCTGATTTGTTCTGTTTTGAGTAGATAAATGTTTTCCTTTCTCCTGGGTAGACGCTTGGGAGTGGAATTACGGGGACACATGATAACTTTGTCGTGACTGTGAGAGACTGTTAGATGTTTATCAGGGTGGCCGGGCTGCTGCCATTTCTACCAGCAGTGTACCGGCCTTCCGATTCTTCACATCCTCCCCAACAATTGTTAACATGCTTCCGCTTATATCAGCCCTTCTAGTCGGGGTGAAGTGGTATCTCACTGCAGTTTTAGAGAGAAACATCGATCGATTGCCTCTCGTCCACGCCGCGACGGCATCAGGCCCGCCGCGCAGGCACGTGCCCTGATGGGGAGTCAAACCAGCCGCCTTTTGCTTTGTAGGACGACAGCCGACCAACTGAGCCACATCAGACGGGGTTCTTACTGCAGTTTTGACTTGTATTTCTCTAGTGATGGATGATATCCTACGACGTCCTGCAGGTATGGCTTTTCTCAGGTTATGAAGCTTGAAGGCTCTGTGGCATTTTATCTTAGCTATGGCCAATATCACTCACTCAAACTGTGGTCACCTCTCCACAGAAGGAACTCAGAAGAGACTTCCTGTCACAGACCGTGGGATGGGCAGCGTTCCCAGGGGAGGACCCCAACCCAGGAGAGTCCTGTGGAAACGGCGGGGGAGGGCACGGCACCCGCGGGCTCGGGCTCACACGCGTGCCTCGTAGCTCCTGCTCCCCGGCTCCTAGAGTTCTTCTTCCGGCCTCATGGCCAGGTATAAACAGAGAGACTGTCACACCTCCGGAACAAATCTGCATGAAGTCATGCTGGACACGGCGCAAGACACACTTGCTGCTGAGAGGGTTCCCGCAACGAGGCCCGAGCAAGCAGAGGTGCGTGGCTTCCCCATCATGACCCAGATCCCTCCGCGCTTCGCTCCCTCACTCACCAGACAAGGAATTTCCTTGGGGCGAAGTGAAGGACGTCAGTGGAGGACACTTACGCTGCCCTTGACCTTTGTCACCTGCGCGCAAGGACTGGGTTGTCTTGGTCTTTTCCCGCCTCCTGTCCCTTATTCCACGGTCCTGGGGTAGACACTGCTAATCCTGCCATCATACACATTCTCCGGGCCCGTGTGTGCGTGCACGTGTGTGTGTGTGTATTTGGGAATGATCTCTGACACTCAATCTAAGGCAGAAAGCGTAATGACAGATCCCTGGCAAACATTCAAGAGCGTATTCCAGGATACCCTGCCTATGGCCTAGCCACTCTCTGTCCCATTGCTTTACTAGGAAACTCACGTTCACTCTGAACTCTAAAAGAGAAGGTATTTCAAAGATCTGAAAGAGGGGCACGCAGCCGAATCTCATGCCCTCATCATAGAAAACGCAGGAAACCCCCCAACACCTACAGTCTGCGATTTCGAAATTGCAGGGCATCATTTATGAGCATAGGTGAAAACTTCCTCAGCATCCCAGTAGAATCCATGTGACACCAACACAGATTTGTGTGACCACCAGGGAGGACGTGGGCTGAAGCCAGGGTATAAGGGATGTCTTTGAGGAATGGGAACACGCATTTAGGAGGGAGAGCAAATATGAGGAGGTCCGGAACCACATGGCAGGTGCCCCATTCCGAAACCTCAGCGGTGTCGCTGTGACACACCATAAGACAGTGAGATGGTGCAACTGGACACTACGTCATGGACTCACGGATGTTGTAGCCCAGGGTCCATAAAGTGCATCAGCGTGGTCCTTGGGAGGTGACCAGCACAGCCCAGAGGAAAGCTCCCACCAGGGTGAGGCAGCATCACTCGAGCGCCACCAGGGGGCGCTGCGGCCTAGTCCTTCCTGCCTTGGGATGGGCCCCTGGGCCCTGGGTTCTTCTCCCCCATGCATCTGAGCAACCCTCCCTTCAACACTCCCTGCCAATGGCAGCCCAGATCCCGCCCCCGGCAGAGAACTGCTGGGAACCCTCGTGCCCTGAGAATACCTCAGACGATTTTCCAAGGGGGCTCAGGGCTCCTTCCAGTGGTCCGCGATCCTGCTGGCCGCGGTGAGGGCCTCGTTGATTCCTGATGACACTTACAGTAAATGCTTCAGTTCCTACACTGTCATATATTTGGTTTATACGTCTTGCTGGTCCAGTCCTCACTTATTTCGGTGACATTAATTTCTCACAACATCTGGGGAAACTGATGTTTGTACTTTGAGATATTTCAATTATTTTTGAATGATTTATTTTTACCTTACGTTTTAGATCCTTCTCATGTCAAGATATAATGTATATAATTATACGTAATTGTCTCTACTGCACCAAATGTACCTTTGGTTACTATACGCACCCAATGCTTGCGTAGGAATCATGCTGTCTGAAGAAAGTTGGGTGTCACAACCACAATGATGAGAATAAAAATCTGTGCCAATTTCATCAATCCAGTTACCGGCAATTTAGAAATGAATATTTCATCATATTTTCATTTCACAGAGTGCTGAAAAGAACTGGGGGCTTTTCTCCACCGCATCCTGGCTGCGTTTTGTCTCCTGCTCCCTCCCCTCCCTCCCCTCCCAGTCTCCCCACTTCCCTCCGCTCCTCCTGCCCCACAGGAGAGGGGTCAGGAAACAGGCTGTAAAATGCCCCGGGCGCTCACCCCACTAGGCTAGGTGCCAGGTGACTGTCTTGATCTGATTCTAATTATGAGGCATATTTTTTCTTATTTTGTTGTATCTCTTGTTGGGATAAATCTGATCATTTCAGGGGGGTGCTGTGGCCTTTCTCCTCAAAATCTGCAGTGACATGGAAGGTGCTCCGTGTATTTAATGACAATGGAGAGCAAGGGCAGTTGGCCCCCAGGCCTGGCCGCCAGCTCCAGCCTTGGTCCCCCGACTGCTGCACCCGGAGCGTTGACAGGGCTGTGTCCATGGGAGAGTCCTGACCCTTGGCACCGCTGACACGGGCTCTGCGATCCCCTAGTGGTCTCAGTGCCGGAGAGAGGAGGCCCGGTAAGGTTTCCTAGGGAGGCAGGACGGGATTTCACTGGAGAGGTCGGAAACAGTTCTGAAGGACGCGTTTATGTTTGGGAAATACAAGACCATTGGGGCACGAGGGCGGGACCTCGCACGGGTCGCCCATATTCCGATCCCAGCTCCCAGGGGAAGAAATCAGGACTGAGGTCACCTCGGCCCCCTCGCTGTCTCAGTGGCTGTGCAGTCAGGGGTCTGTGTGAGGTCACAGCATCTGCCTCATTCCAGACCTCCCCCCAGGGCACACCAGGGTGGCACCCAATCA